AGGCCCATAGCTCGCGGTATTCCATTCATCCGGGTGCCGCGAAGATGTATCAGGATCTTAGACAGCACTATTGGTGGCGGAGGATGAAGAGAGATATTGTGGAGTATGTAGCCCGGTGTCTTAATTGTCAGCAAGTGAAATATGAGCATCAGAGACCGGGTGGCTTACATCAGCAGATGGTTATTCCTGAGTGGAAGTGGGAGAGGATCACTATGGATTTTGTTACCGGACTCCCACGGACTCTGAAGAAATTTGATGCTATTTGGGTGATTGTAGACAGGCTGACCAAGTCCGCGCACTTCATTCCGGTTTGTACTACTTATTCTTCAGAGCGGCTGGCAGAGATCTATATTCGGGAGATAGTTCGATTGCATGGTGTCCCAGTTTCCATCATATCAGATCGGGGCACTCAGTTCACCTCTCAGTTTTGGCAGGCGGTTCAGCGAGAGTTGGGTACTCAGGTGCAGTTGAGCACAGCTTTTCACCCTCAGACGGACGGGCAGTCCGAGCGCACCATTCAGATATTGGAGGATATGTTACGTGCCTGTGTTATTGATTTTGGAGGGTCATGGGATCGGTTTCTACCGCTTGCAGAGTTTGCCTACAACAATAGCTATCAGTCCAGCATTCAGATGGCACCGTATGAGGCCTTGTATGGGAGGCGGTGTAGATCTCCAGTTGGTTGGTTCGAGCCCGGGGAGGCTAGATTGTTGGGGACAGATTTGGTTCAGGATGCATTGGAGAAGGTGAAGGTGATTCAGGAGAGACTCCGTACAGCACAGTCGAGACAGAAGAGCTATGCAGACAGGAAGGTTCGAGATGTATCTTTTATGATTGGTGAGAAGGTCTTGCTGAAGGTTTCACCCACAAAGGGTGTTATGAGATTTGGGAAGAAAGGGAAGCTGAGTCCGCGGTTCATTGGGCCTTTTGAGGTACTTAGGAGGATCGGGGAGGTGGCTTATGAGCTTGCCTTGCCACCTAGCTTGTCGGGCGTGCATCCAGTTTTTCATGTGTCTATGCTCCGGAAGTACATTGGGGACCCGTCCCATGTTTTAGATTTCAGTACAGTTCAGCTGGAGGGTGACTTGACTTATGAGGTAGAGCCAGCAGCCATTTTGGATCGTCAGGTTCGGAAGTTGAGATCAAAGGATGTTGCATCAGTGAAAGTGCAGTGGAGAGGTCGGCCCGTGGAGGAGGCTACCTGGGAGACCGAGCAGGAGATGCGGAGCAGATATCCTCACCTATTTGAGACTTCAGGTATGTTTCTTGACCCGCTCGAGGATGAGCGTTTGTTTAAGTTGGGGAGGATGTCACGACCCGACCCGTCGTCACGTGAGTTACCGCCCCGTTTCCCTCATGATATGCTTCTTCGTGTTTCATTATCAGTATTTGATGTGTTAGAGTTTGTTTGGAATGGTTTTGATAAGAAATGAGACACTTAGTCTCTTTTAAGAAGGCTTAAGTTGGAAAAGTCAACCGGATGTTGACTTTTGTGTTAGAGGGCTCGGATTTGAATTCCGATGATTTGGTTAGCTTCGGAGGATGATTTGTGACTTAGGAGTGCGATCGGAATTGATTTTGGAGGTTCGGTGTATAATTAGGCTTGAATTGGCGAAGTTAGTATTTTGGCGAATTCCGGTTGGTAGGTGAGATTTTGATCCGGGGGTCGGAATGAGATTCCGAGAGTTGTTGTAGCTTCGTTAGGTGATTTTGGATGTGTGTGCAAAATTTCAGGTCATTCGGAGGTGTTTTGGTTGGGTTTCTGATCGAATGCGTGTTTCGAAAGTTTTAGAAGAACTTAGGCTCGAATTCGATGAGAAATGATGGTTTTAGTGTTGTTTGAGGTGGTTTTAATGATTGGAGCAAGTTTGAATAAGGTATTGGATCATGTTTGTATTTTTGGTTGAGGTCCCGAGGGCCTCGGGGTGATTTCGGATGGCTAACGGGAAGTTTTTGACNCCGTCATGACTTGGAGCTAGCAGCTATAGTTCATGCACTGAAGATTTGGAGGCATTACTTGTATGGCGTATCCTGTGAGGTATTCACTGATCATCGCAGTCTTCAGCATTTGTTCAAGCAAAAGGATCTTAATTTGAGGCAGCGTAGATGGTTGGAGTTACTTAAGGATTATGACATTACTATCCTGTATAACCCGGGGAAGGCCAATGTAGTGGCCGATGCTTTGAGCCGGAAGTCGGTAAGTATGGGGAGCTTGGCATACATTCCAGTTGAGGAGAGGCCATTTGCAGTTGATGTTCAGGCCTTGGCCAACCGATTTGTGAGATTAGATATTTCAGAGCCCAGTCGAGTGTTGGCTTGTGTGGTTTCTCGGTTTTCCTTGTATGACCGCATCAGGGAGTGTCAGTACGATGATCCGCATTTGCTTGTCCTTAAGGACAGGGTTCAGCATGATGATGCCAGGGATGTGACTATTGGAGATGATGGTGTGTTGAGGATGCAGGGCCGGATTTGCGTGCACAATGTGGATGGGCTTCGAGAGTTGATATTGGAGGAGGCCCATAGCTCGCGGTATTCCATTCATCCGGGTGCCGCAAAGATGTATCAGGATCTTAGACAGCACTATTGGTGGCGGAGGATGAAGAGAGATATTGTGGAGTATGTAGCCCGGTGTCTTAATTGTCAGCAAGTGAAATATGAGCATCAGAGACCGGGTGGCTTACATCAGCAGATGGTTATTCCTGAGTGGAAGTGGGAGAGGATCACTATGGATTTTGTTACCGGACTCCCACGGACTCTGAAGAAATTTGATGCTATTTGGGTGATTGTAGACAGGCTGACCAAGTCCGCGCACTTCATTCCGGTTTGTACTACTTATTCTTCAGAGCGGCTGGCAGAGATCTATATTCGGGAGATAGTTCGATTGCATGGTGTCCCAGTTTCCATCATATCAGATCGGGGCACTCAGTTCACCTCTCAGTTTTGGCAGGCGGTTCAGCGAGAGTTGGGTACTCAGGTGAGCACAGCTTTTCACCCTCAGACGGACGGGCAGTCCGAGCGCACCATTCAGACATTGGAGGATATGTTACGTGCCTGTGTTTAGGGGTGTACAAACCGAACCGGAAAACGGCACCAAACCGAAAAGTCAAACCAAACCGATTAAAAAACCCGACTAGGTTTGGTTTGATTTGGTTTGATATTGAGTAAAAAAAACCGAACCAACCCGACATATAAATATATAATTTTTATATATACTTTTAAGACTTTATATAGAATTTTCTTTATAAAAATTCTAGAAATATTTGGGATTCTCTTATAGAATGTAATATTTAATAGAATATGAAGTACTCCATTTTTACTAACCTTAAAAAATGGGTTATATGATCACTTTCTTATCAAGTGTTACTGAAATGCGTCAATTTCTTTGTTCTTCCTTGTTGATATATCAAGATTTATTAAATTCTTATATTTTTTCTTTCAAATTTGAAGTGGTATTTTGATAATCTAAAATTAAATAGAACTTATCATTAATTAGGTATCATGTTGATTTTTATGTTTAATTATTGAATTCGTTTAACCTTATAAGTATACATCAACGAAAAATTATTGTCAGTGGACTAAAAAATAACTATCATGTGTTATTAACAAAATACTACCATAAAAATATTTATCATATGTTTGTCAAGTTTTTCAATTTTTACTAAACATATATTTACTTATAAAAATTTTAACAAAGTAAGATTAAAATAATATTCACATAACAAAAAAATCCGGAAAACCCGAAAAACCCGACAAAACCGAACCAATCCAACCCGATATAGTTGGTTTGGTTTGGTTTTAATAAAAATCGAACCAACCCGGTCCATGTACACCCCTACCTGTGTTATTGATTTTGGAGCGCACCATTCTACCGCTTGCAGAGTTTGCCTACAACAATAGCTATCAGTACAGCATTCAGATGGCACCGTATGAGGCCTTGTATGGGAGGCGGTGTAGATCTCCAGTTGGTTGGTTCGAGCCCGGGGAGGCTAGTTGGGGACAGATTTGGTTCAGGATGCATTGGAGAAGGTGAAGGTGATTCGGGAGAGACTCCGTACAGCATAGTTGAGACAGAAGAGCTATGCAGACAGGAAGGTTTGAGATGTATCCTTTATGATTGGTGAGAAGGTCTTGCTGAAGTTTTCACCCACAAAGGGTGTTATGAGATTTGGGAAGAAAGGGAAGCTGAGTCCGCGGTTCATTGGGCCTTTTGAGGTACTTAGGAGGATCGTGGAGGTGGCTTATGAGCTTGCCTTGCCACCTAGCTTGTCGGGCGTGCATCAAGTTTTTCATGTGTCTATGCTTCGGAAGTACATTGGGGACCCGTCCCACGTTTTAGACTTCAGTACAGTTCAGCTGGAGGGTGACTTGACTTATGAGGTAGAGCCAGCGGCCATTTTGGATCGTTTCGGAAGTTGAGATCAAAGGATGTTGCATCAGTGAAAGTGCAATGGAGAGGTCGGCCCGTGGAGGAGGCTACTTGGGAGACCGAGCAGGAGATGCGGAGCAGACATCCTCACCTATTTGAGACTTCAGGTATGTTTCTTGACCCGCTCGAGGATGAGCGTTTGTTTAAGTTGGGGAGGATGTCACGACCCGACCCGTCGTCACGTGAGTTACCGCCCCGTTTCCCTCATGATATGCTTCTTCGTGTTTCATTATCAGTATTTGATGTGTTAGAGTTTGTTTGGAATGGTTTTGATAAGAAATGAGACACTTAGTCTCTTTTAAGAAGGCTTAAGTTGGAAAAGTCAACCGGATGTTGACTTTTGTGTTAGAGGGCTCGGATTTGAATTCCGATGATTTGGTTAGCTTCGGAGGATGATTTGTGACTTAGGAGTGCGATCGGAATTGATTTTGGAGGTTCGGTGTATAATTAGGCTTGAATTGGCGAAGTTAGTATTTTGGCAAATTCCGGTTGNNGGGGGGGGGTCATCAGAAACAGTGATAGTAACTGGATTCTAGGTTTCAACAAGTCCATTCCTCATACAACTAATATCTACATGGAAGGCCTCGCCCTTATACAGGGTCTAAAAATAGCTATACAACAAAATATCAGGCCACTAGTGGTTGAAACAGATTGCTATGCCCTAGTCAATATGCTTACTAACGATAATGGTCTATATCAAAATTTGATTACTGATTGCAGATGGATGTTTAGTAGAGCAAGAGAGCCACAGGTCACTCACGTCTTCAGGGAAGCTAATGGAGTGGCTGACATTCTGGCAAAGCATGGAAGCAACTCGAACTTTTTTGGAAATCTTATGTTGTACTTCTCCCCGCCCCCTTTTGTTGTTTCTACTTTTGAACTGGACAAGCTAGAAACCTTGTGTCCTAGAATAGTCCCAACTTGTAATAACTTTTAAATAGGGCAGAATAAATATCTTCATTACCACAAACAAAAAAAAAAGATAGTTGATGCTCCTCCAATTTATTTCTATGAATTTGGGTCTTGTCTTGCATCTATAGAAAACTAGCAATCTAGCATATATAATTCTCATATCTTATCTTCAAAATTTTTTATTCCTTCTAATTGTAGTAATTCTTGAATTTTGTACTCGCTTCTATGATTATAAAAGAGATCTAAGAAAGTCGATATCTTTTTCGATTCGCATGATCATCCCCACTTCCACACGTCGCTCTGAATGGTTAGTAACTGTCGAGATACTTGGTGGTTGTGGGTGAAAAATCTAGCATAGTGGGTGCGGATGAATCCCCTACGTTATGGAGACTGTTGAGAACCAAGTCAAGTTCCAAGTCATGACTTCATGGTAAATCTCCAAAATCATCTTTTGGGTGCTTCACCGAGATTCGACACTTGTTTTCCTACGGAAGAGTCACTGAACCGTATGTATTTCCTGATGAGGATCAAATTCTGCTGCCATCTTATTGTTAATATGATTAATATCCTTTAATATCGACTGATATCGGGCGAACTTTAATATTAACTATTAGTATTTGCAAGATGATTATTATCTTATGATTGCAAAAAGGAATTGATCAACGATTTTCATTCCTTAGTTTTTTTTTGTTAAAATTCCTTAGTTTATTAATTCTTGCAAATGAGAAGCTGAAAATTAGTCTTAGCTGAAGGTTTAGGGAAGTTAAGTTTTTGTTTTTTTATTTATTTTAATTACGATTGTGTGTTCGAAAAACAAAACAAAACATTTTTAAAAGGCAAAGAAACTGAAGAATGTACTATGTTCTAATTTCGGCTTTATTATTATTTTTTAATTTGACTTGGTTCTTTTGCCTCTATATCTCATTTTGATATTTGTTTTTCATTTTAGCATGGTAACCCACATTCATCTTGCAATCTAATTCGATAATTGCTATGTTTGAGAGTCTGATTATAAAATTCAATATGACACCGTGCAAATTGGTAAGTTTATGAGTACAAATACTATAATTATAACTTATAATTCTAGCTATAGAGAATTTGAATTTATAGCCGCTTCGAATTTTTGGGATGTTAAGTTTTAGGTATGTCAGATACATAGATATACGCTTAAAGTTGGCATCAATGATCAAATAGGCATCTTAACTCTTGTGACCTGATAGCGGCCTCTTGTGGTATGTGGCTTGAACTTGTTATTACACTGTATTTGTAAAATAAATTATGAAAATATAAATGAATATAAACAGAAATGACATAAACCAATTCGAGCCCACTGAATTCACAGTGTTTCCTTAAGGAATTTAATCCCCTCCTAGTACCCAAGGTTATGGATTATTTCCTCCCAGGATAGAACGAATTACACACTGGTGTAGTGGTACTTCAAACCCCAGTGTTTCAGCGAACACAAAGTTCGGTAGCAAATCACACTTACTTTTTGCTTTGTTTTGATGCTAAAAGTATGCAGAAGAAGGAGAGGAAACTCAGAAAATTGTAGTTAAAATTCTGAGCAGAATAGTGTTGTATTTATAGCCAAAGTTGGGTCTCTTCAGAATGGCTGTTTATGCAAAACGCCCACAACATAAATGCCTTTACATAAATGGCCATTTACTCAATAATAAAGAGGGAAAATTGAAGAGGGTAGTTACTTTTCTGTTACCAAAACAGAAAAACGGATTGGATTTAATATTAATATTTAATATTAATATTTTGTTATTAAAACAAATATTTAATAACATTTCTATTAATATTTTACTATTAACAAATAAATTTGGTCCAAAAAGTTAATCAATCAATCGATCATTTGACCAAATCCAAATCCAAATCCGAATCCGAATCCAAATCCGAATCGTAAGCCGAAGCCGAAGCCGAAGCCGTAGCCGTAGCCGTAGCCGAAGCCGAAGCCGAGCCGAGCGAGCGACGACGACGACGGCGCGAGGCTTGCCTTCTTCTCAACTCTTTAAGAGCTAGAAGAAGAGCAATTGCTTATATACCCATAAAAAACCTCTTCCTCTTCCAATATGGGACAATGCCCATTTGCCAAGGGAGGGGGAACTTAAAATTTCACTCAAAAATTTTATTTCCCTCCATTTCCCATTCACCCTCTTTTAAGTATTTAATATATTAATTAAATACCTTAAAAACCCAACAATCCCCCACATGAATGGGGAATGGCTATATCACGGAAGTATGCATGAAAAACTGTGTGATTCACAAGTAAGGATTAATTGCATCTGGATAAGTACGTTTCCCTTTGAACTTTCCGTAGTGAACTTATGTCGGATATACTCGATCAATCGGTAGATTTGATATCTTTGAACCGTCGAACTTTACTGTATACCTAGACAACCACAAGTCACACAACCAACCCTTAACCGTCTTTGGTTCTCATTGTTGTGTTCGTTTCAGCCATGAACACCGCCTGGTTTCATAAGTGCGTAGAGAACTGGCCTTGCTGTGTTCTCCTTGAAGCGGCTAACACTTCACACTTACATAGGTGATTCCTAAACGTGTCATCCCGCAGATACACTATTTGATATATCCTGTATCAAATTTAGAAATCATTAAAAAGCCTTAATGCTTTATCCTTGGTACTGAACATTGTCTCATCACGAGAATGGACCAAAAGTTTAGTTGACAATGTTGAACCGTCATAAATGACTTTGTTTGATCTCCTTGAACCTAGATCTTGGGATCTCCAGTCTTCTAGGTAGAGTTACCGCCACTATGACTTGTTCTCGGCCACAGTCCCATTCCCTTTGATGACTTCTCAACTACCTCTCTAGTTAGGCCTTTTGTAAGTGGATCCGACACATTATCACTTGACTTTACATAGTCAATCGTGATAATTCCTCTAGAGAGTAATTGTCTAACGGTTTTATGTCTTCGTCGTATATGGCGAGACTTACCGTTATACATAACGCTCCCAGCCCTTCCAATTGCCGCTTGACTATCACAATGTATGCATATTGGTGCCAACGGTTTGGGCCAAAATGGAATATCTTCCAAGAAATTCCGGAGCCATTCAGCTTCTTCACCGGCTTTATCCAAGGCTATGAACTCAGCCTCCATTGTAGAGCGGGCAATACAAGTTTGTTTGGATGACTTCCAAGATACCGCTCCTCCACCAATAGTGAATACATATCCACTTGTGGACTTGGAATCAGTTGATCCGGTGATCCAATTTGCATCACAGTATCCCTCAATGACCGCAGGATATTTATTGTAATGCAAAGCAAAGTCCTGGGTATGTACTAAATACCCCAAAACTCGTTTCATGGCCATCCAATGAGATTGGCCTGGATTGCTCGTATATCGACTCAATTTACTTATAGCACAAGCTATATCTGGTCGTGTACAATTCATGATGTACATTAAGCAACCCAACACACGAGCATAATCCAATTGTGATATGCTCTGGCCTTTGTTCTTTGCTAATGCAAGATTCACATCAATTGGAGTCTTTGCAATTTTAAAGCCCAAGTGCTTGAATTTTTCAAGTACT